AGCTAGTTGGCCACATTCTACAGCCCCCCAGTGACACAGCGGTATGTCTGCAGACTTACAACGCTAGAATCCGGGTTTCGATACCCGTGGTGGGCAGAGCACAGATAGCCCATTGTGTAGCTTTGTACATAATTACAAACAAACACATTCTAGAACCTATCTTTCAATACGTTAAGTGCTACACAAGTGTCCACATGTATGTGTGAAAATAAAATGAAAAACTATGTGTTATGTTTTACATACCACACCTCTATTGATGAAGAACACAGGTCCACCTATCAAAAGTTATAGGACTTTCTCGTTGTTTTTTTTTTTTTGTATCATGATCATTTTTTGCTTATTGTTAATAAGAAGAAAGTGTCTATCATCAAAGAATGTTTATTTGTGTTTAATCAGATTATAATGATTCATTAAAATAAAATGTGAATCTTGATGTATAACATGGTTTTAGAAATTAAAGTTTTAAGTAATTAAGTACGAGTTCTGGAGTACTTTGAACTTGAGTAAAATAAGCTTAGTGACTAAAAATCATTTTTTGAATAAACAGAAACGTACTCAGAGAATGAAACACTCGCTTCACAGTGATTTTTTACTTTTAAAGTAAGCAACCTAAAATATGCACCAAACAATTCATAACCCTCAAACATTTTCATCTAGGTGCCAAGATTCTCTTGCCACCTCAATTTGGCTGTTTTTCAAAATCCAAATTTGATACCATTATAAAGAAAGTTGTTGAACAGCATTGGAACCTAGACTTTTGGGCAACATTCATCAAACATTAATATACTGGTCCTTGGGGGACACTCAGTTTTTGGTACGATATTTGATCAAAATCCGATAAACACTTTTCAATTTATACTGTTCACACTGGCGCAATAGTGAAAGCAATAACTCCGCCATAGGGCGGGGTGATAATTAAATTTTATATTTGAATTTGTTAAAAATTCGTCGCATCCAGCTAAATTGCTTATCACGTGCGTTTAAATTAAAAAACCCGTGTGAGAATGATCCAAGCGTAATTTTATGTTATTAGAAATCATTCTAGAGACTTAACTTGATTTTCTAAAAACCAGGAACCTGACTCTGAACATCTTTTTTTTTTTTTTTTTTTTTTTTTTTTTTATTTACATTCTAATTTTTAGGTACACCAGAAATCAGCTATTGCTATATGTCAGATATTTGGTCGGTGATCGCCGTTTCTCGACTGACTACCAGGTGGCTCTCGGTGATTCTGCTCCCCCACTTCCTCAGTGTGTTGTATTGTTGATACTCCCTAATGGTGACGTAGAAAACTGAGTATGAAGAATCTCGCACAAACTTTGACTCCAGTCGTCATGTTATGATCTCTGTAGAATATCATACAAGCCTCACCCTGAAGCGTTTGTGCACAGCTGACTATCCGGCTAATTCATCACCAGGGCACTTTTGAAACCGTGGGTATGACAGGTTTGGAGAAGACAGATAAATCAAGAGCTGGGACACCTCCAGTTCCGCCCTCGTACAGTGCCATCTCTCCCATTCACCAAACTCAACAACTGCTGCCCTTTCAAGATGGATACACATTTCCTCCTCCACTATTTCAGAGCATTACTAATGATGCAGTGTCTACAGGTGGAGCCATGCCCGCTCAGGGTAACATGCATCGAACACACACTAGATCCATGTCATCTCTCCCCCCCGAGCCCTTCATGATCATGCGAAGTAAAGCCTTAAATCGAAGGGTTACCATTAATGTTGGAGGGGTGAAGCACGAGGTGCTATGGCGTACTCTTGAAAGGCTTCCACACACTCGACTAGGTCGTCTGCGAGAGTGTAACACGCACGAGGCAATCATGAAACTGTGTGATGACTACAGCCTAGTGGACAACGAATATTTTTTCGACCGGCATCCGCGGTCGTTCAGCTCGGTGCTCAATTTCTATCGCACAGGTAAGCTTCACCTCGTGGAGGAAATGTGCGTGCTGGCCTTCAGTGACGACTTGGAATACTGGGGTATCGATGAACTATATCTGGAGTCTTGCTGCCAGCATAAATATCACCAGCGAAAAGAGAATGTGCATGAGGAGATGCGCAAGGAGACTGAATTACTAAGAAAAGGGGAAGAAGAAGATTTTGGAGAGGGACGTTTTATTAAGTATCAGAAATTTCTGTGGGATCTTCTTGAGAAACCAACATCGTCTGTAGCAGCAAGGGTGAGTGACACACACCTCGTTTTAATCAGTGTCTATCGCATTGTTTTAAGCCGATTATTAATTGTTATAATTATGTCGAATATTTCATTCAATACGTTAAGAGAATACCATATTCAAAATGCTCCTTCTTTGTCAATGAAAAAACAAACTGACAATGATTTCACAAATGACATATTCCATTAAAATACCTTCATTAAAAAGGCTGAAGAGAGATGTTTAAAATTAAAACTGTTTCAAATACATCGTTTATCAAAAGAATACGGTACCATTAAGTTTAATTGACCAAATACTGTGTAAAAAATACCACTTTCTAAATGCAAGTCTACTCATCCAAGTATTAATGATGAAGAAATCATAAGTGTACATCTTATTGTTCTGTCTTTAGTTTTTACTCCTACATATGGGCTTGTCCGTTTTATTTTCATAAAGAATTTCCGATACTCTGCCATTGCTTTGGTATGAAGCCCTAGCGGATATTTCTGTGAATTGTTGTACTTAAAAGGTCCCGTGGAAACTAGGTTAATGCGAAATGCAGTATTAGCTGTTAAAGAGAAATCCAAACGCTAAATTAACTTCATTTGTGTAATCTGGTCTTAAATGAAGTCATTACCCGTTTACAGTTAGAAAACAGATTCACAATTAACCTTCACTGGTAAGAAACTCTTGACGTTTACCATGGTACCCTACAGCCTAGTAACAAGTGATTACCTATTTTAGAAAGACATTTCAACTGAACGCTACACTACTTCCCCCAGTAATGCGCATTCTTTAGTAATTCTCCATTGGCTCAGCAGTTCAGGACTTAATTGCGCTAAAATGTGGGGCTCTATCATAGCAGTGTACAGAGCACTGAGAGCCAATTGTGTAGCTTTTTCGCTAAAACAAATAAATTTTATCCCGCACTGTGAATGCCTGTCAGTCAATGGCAATTAAAGCTAAACATTTAAATTCGTCACCCATTGATGTCAGTTTCAAATTAATTTTCAATCATCGTAATGTTTTAATACAACCATTGTTACGTATGACAATTTCAAATAAACTAAAACTGAGTTAAATTGTAATTTAGATTTAGTAGTAAAATAAATGCCGATATATATATATATATATCCAATTTACGATATTTGCCAATAAGATTGATACACACAGTTTCTTTTTTTAATTAAAATATATTTTAATATACAAACAATAATACAATTTACAATAAAAGTTATTACAAATAATGATCTATGTACAAAAGTTTTACAAACTTACAAAGAGTCTTCTTTCTGGTCTGGAACCTCCTTGATGTCTTATCGAGGGATCACGCTGAGCGAATTAATTTCGAGTTGATGTAGGTACAATTCACTTCACAGGGAGCTAGCTCTGTGGCTTTTTTTTTTTTTTTCACCGGTCACACGTCGAGCTTTTCCACCGATGAAGTTATGTAATGTTTTTGTAAAAATACTAATGTCCGATGTGAATCCACTGAAGTTAAATGATTTTTAATCTTCGAAATTTGCAAACGTTCCTGATCAAATATCTGAAGTTCCCGATTAATAAGCGTTAATCACAGTTATAGCTTCCAAGGTTTATAGTATACCAACTGTAGTAAACCAATAATATATGCTGTCTTTTGGCACGTCGTGTTGGTTATATTTAAAGGCGTGAGGAGAGTTTTCGAAATTTCAGTTTACTCAATAATACTGACGATACACTACTATTTACGAAAACACACATGTATTGTTGATTCTCACACTCGAGAATCTTCTACAACTTTAGAGAATAGGCAGTAATTTCGCAATACAGATTTAACAGTTTAAGATATGTACATTTCTAAATATAAATTTAACTTAAACATCGATATTAACATAGATATATGATAGTAAATCCGTCATACCATTCACGAGACTCGATATCCAAGTTTCTACTAACACTTTTTTTGTAGATTTCTCCATCCTCTTCATTTGGTATATTGACAAGACAATGTGACATTTAAAACGTTGTCCAAATGTCATCTAAACAGGCAGAAGAAATTCTAAGAAATAATATCAAATTGTCCAACACCCTGTCTAAGCCCATTCTGAGAAAGAATTTGAATCTCGAAATTTCGCGTCATCAGTAGGTGGAATATCGTGGAAAAACTTCTAGAATCAAACTGTTCTTGTATTCACCAGTTCTGGCTATTTATACACTGTGTAAAGGAACGTTCCTCTAGCCAGCTCTTGGTAAACCACTTCGAAAATAAGACTGACTTCCAGAGGGTGGGTGAAATAGCTCAAGTAGTGACTTAGAAATCGAATGGCATATTTTTGTTCATGCTTAGAAAAACAAATTACCAGTCGCACCAGTCGAAAAGAACACATACAATAATTGAAAACAGATTTAACAATGGTAGTGTCACGTGCTTTCGAACGCAAGTTAAAAAGTATTAGAAGGACAGTCTAAGCGACAGAAAATCGCAAACTATCAAAAAAATGTAAAAATATACAAGAGGGGATCCTCATTAGCCGTGACAATTGAAATTCTTTTAGGCAGGATTAGAGTAAATGTATCTATGAGATATTTCTTTACCTTTTTTTATTAGCTATATTTTTGTGCATCAGCAATACCAGCGTAGGGCGCGCGTTTACCCGATTCACTTTTATTACTCATCATGATCTCTACCAGCCTACCCTTAAATTGAAAATATTTTAGGCAGGATTAGAGTAAATTAATCTATGAAACCTTGGGCGTGATCAAATACACCAGTTGAAAGGGTTTGACTTCCTGAGTCGAAAACTGCAATTAGATCTCAAATCGGCCGAGAGATGGTAGAGCTATAAGCTAAAAGTTTGTACTTAAAAAAACAAAAACAAAACCCAAAGCCGTTCTATGAGCCGCTCATTCGCAGCTAAAAAAAAACAACAACAACAAATTATAAAGTCGATTAATTATTTATGTAGATTTTAGGTTTATGGAATTGAATCAGAAGAGACTCTGAATTTTCCATCATTTTGCTAAATGTTTAATGTTAAATAATGTCTTATCTACAGTACCATGTTTCGTTAGAAAGTGTCCGGCTATGTATTTATAACCACACTGGGTACATTTCATTTCATATATTACGTTTTTAACAGTGCACGAGTTATCTAGTCCAGTCTGCTCTGCAAAGTTTAAAAACTGATATAAATTTTGCTCAGTTGTATCTTAACTGCAGTAACAAATGAAAAAAAAAAGTTACCTCAACTGTTTAATATTACGATATAGCAGTTAAATACCTTGCACGAGCCCTAATCTTAACATATTGTTACGAAATCGGAAGTCACGTGAGTCTGGTGACACGTCGTGATATTCTCGAAGGTTCGTGAATGCTCGAGTGTTTACTAGATGTGCGGTATTCTTGTATATACAACCGCCAAGAAGTGACGGCAACAATGGAATTGAATTGCAGACAGAGATAGAGACGGACAATTAAGTCAAGCGCGTGAATCGTTCGTTGTGAATTATAGCGTTTGTTTAAGTTATAGCGTGACTGTGGAAATTAAGTGTATTGAAAAGTTGTATTAAGAAAGAATAAACTAGTTTTATTTAAGAAAGGACTTGTATCGCTAAAGTTTCTTCGGAAAGAATTTTTATGGAAAATTAACAAACGAACACAGAGGCGTAACAATATTAATGGCTTATGTTATTTGATTACCTCGCTGTATGGGGTTTCGCGCTTGCTAATGCCTGCACTGTGGGTTTAATCCTCAATTTACCAACTTGTCTAGATACTACAGTGTATTAACTAACGATGCAGTCTACGTATTGCATCATTCGGTACTGACCAAAATATTGTAGGAAATCGCTCATTTTTTATGTAAGATACATAGGCAACGTCTGCTGTAATTAGCGGAGTTAGTTGTAATATTGATGGTGTTATTATTATTATTGTACATATTTTTGTGATACTAGTATATTATTAAGGGACTTGTAATCTACAAAAGCACGGACTCACTGGCAATTTGGTGTATTAATTTTGTAAATGTGTTTAAAAACCGATAGGATTTGGACATCAGCGATTTCAGGGTTCGTTTCTCGAGTGTTCCCGGGTCAACGAAAACTCTTTCTGTTATGAAGAAACCAAAACAGGTATCTCGAACATCTTTACAGATGATGTAGAAAATGATGTGCTGAAGTGGTTTCACCAAGCAACACCTAAGATTGTGCTTTTAGGAAAATAATTCGATTTTTACCTTTTCTGTCATAAACAAATGAAATAAGAAGTCTACTTCTTTCTCAATTCTCTTATTATATATTCACTTCATGACTGTTTCAGAATTATAAGTTCTAAAGAAATGTGAAAGCAACTATTTTGTAAACGACTTGAATAAATTGTAAATGTTCGTAATAATTTTACATGGTTTTATTATTTATAGGTGTCACTGCCACCCATTTTAACCATAATATACTGTTACGTCTCCGTTCGTTAGTTAATTTTCTGTAAATTCGTTCCGACGAAACTTTAGCGACACAAGTCCTTTGTTAAATAAAACTGTTTTTTC